GAGGCCGCGCCATGAGCCCCGCAGCCGGGCGCCACCCTGCGCCGCGCGCGGGCCCAGGCGAGCGGCCTCTGCGAGCCCCGCGCCCCGCCCTGGGGCCGGCGATGCGCTGCCGGGGCTGAGGATGATGGTAGATTGCCAGGTGAGTGCCCCGCACGGCCTCGGGCCACCCCCGCCCACACCCCACCCAGGGCGGAAGGGGCCCACGCGGGGCGCGCGCCTATGCAGTTCCGCGTCCTGGTACAGTTGGGAAACTGAGACCAGGAGAGAGGCAGGCACTGGCCCGGCACACACGAGGTGGGGCAGAGGCCAGCAGAGAAGGGAGGATTCCGGCCTTCTAGGCCAGGGCTCAGCCCACCCATGGGGTTTGCTTTGGGAGTGAGAGATCCTGGGGGTCCCCTGCCCACCACCTCCCATGTGGACCTCTTTTCTCTGGGCGTCCCCGCACACGCACAGGCGCGCACGCGCGCGAACACACACACACACACACACACACACACACACACACACACACACACTTTTCCTAGGGATCAGAAGAGGAAAAGGCACTGGGCAGGTGACCGGTAAAGAAAGAAGCAGTTGGAGGCAACTCTGACATGAAGCAGGGCATCCCGTCTCCTAGCAACATGTCAGGGGCCCATAGCATGGGGAAGAAGAGAGATGCCAGGCTGATGGGCAGGGGTCTGTCTGTCAGGAGGCGCCACACCAGAGCAGCCTCGAGAACACAAGTGCCCACTCTGGGCACCAGGAATTAGAATGAACTTCCCTCCTCAGTATGGAGTGAGCTGCAGGAGAGAAGGCCTCAGTTTCCTCCTCTGCGAATTGGGGTTCTTGGTCTAAGTGACCCCAAGGGTCCCTTAGGCTAACAGAAGTGTCGGTTGGCTTTGGTTCTCCATAGATGGCCCACTGCCCTCCCAGGCCCTCGGGAAATGCTTTCTTCTACCTGGAGATCCTCCTGAGCAGGGAGCAGCCTGCGGTTGGAGGACTGAGGACCTGGGGAGGGGCAGAGCGTGGCAGAGTCCTGGCCGCTCGTCTGGGGTCCAGGAACAAGACCGTCCTTGTTGGAGCCTCGGGGTCCTCATTTGGAAGTGGGGCTGGGGTCATTGCCCTGGCTGGGGTGTGGAGGCCTGGTGAGGGGACTGGACACTCCAGGGCCAGCAGAGGGAAAGAGGGGAGCGGGTGAGGCTTCTGAGGTTCCTTGCGTTACCCCTGGAGCCTGCAGGTCCTGCTCCTCTGCTTCGCTGGGGCCCGAGAGAAAGGCTACCTTAGCAACACCCAAACAAAGGTGTGTTTTGTTTCTGGGTTTCCTGCCTGGGGCTGCAGTGCTATCACTGGCCACCAGGGGACGGCAGTGCCCACTGTGCTCAATGGAGCGATTGGAGCCAGGAGGAGCTTCCCAGGGTCATTCTGGGGGTTCCCCCGCCTCCCACCCAACGTGCGCCTCCCATTACCAGCATCCCACGGTGTGAGCTGCTTGGTCGGGGAGGCGGCTGAGAGATCCTCTCACGTTGCATCCAGCAAGTGTGCCGAGCGCTCACCCCAGGCAGGGCGTGTTGGGCCTGGGTGCAGCTCTGAAAGTGACCACGGGGCCCTGCCCTCCAGGAGCTCTGCAGGGACGTGGACAAGCGCACAGGAGCAAACGCGGGGGGAAGGAAAGGGCGGGAGCCACAGCGACACTAAAGCCAGTGCTGCGAGGGAGGGCCCGGGCCCT